AATTTATTTATGGATTCAGAGTTATCAAAAGGTTTAGGGGTTTTGAACCTGAACTCCTCAAGGGTATCCACCATCCAATTTAAAAGTCATCCTTCAGGGGCTGGGGCTGAGGCTCACTGGTAGAGTGCTTGCCTAGCATGTGTGAAGCACTGGATTCAATTCTCAGTTCCGTGTACAAATAAATGAATAAAATAAAGGTTTGTCAACATCTAAAAAAATTTTTTTAAAGTCATCCTTCAGCATATATATGTATGGCACTCTTAGCTTCAAAGCATGTTGCAATCATATAATAAGCAAGCTTCAGGATTCCTGCAGAGGAGACCAGCTTTATCCCACTGTATACCAAAATGCTTAGGCTAAGTTATTCCTCAAGATAATTCCTGTAGAGAGAGAACCTGGCCAGATACACAGTGAAGAGAATCCAGGGCCTGGTCTCCTCTGGGAGAGACTGGCCTCCGTCACTTGAGCCAATAGTAAGCCAATGGCACACTTTCTGCTGGACCTGGGACCAATCTGGAAAAGTAGGACTTTTCCTTCTGAGTTATTTGGATACTTTCCTTGTTTGTCAGTAATAGTTATCCTCTCATAGGTACCAGTTGTGTATGAGGGGTTCACCATCCTCATTTCTAATCCTCACAACTGTCTCATGAGACGTTTTTGTTTCATGAATGAGAATACTGAAGCTGTCACATTAAGAAGTCTGTCACCCTCGCGGAGCCTCTAAGAGAGCGAGCCAGGGCAAGCCCTGGGGGACTCCAGGCCAGCTGGTCCCTGCAGCACCACGCAGCCTAAACCTGCACACACACGGACTACTCAACCATGCCCTCGACACATCACCACGCAGACCCCCAGGAGGAGAAGATGGTCAAGACAGAAGACCTGTCCCAGAGAAGCTGAGTCTGCAGTCAACACAGCCTGCCTCCAATGAGGCGAGTGTACCCCGGCTTCCTGAACTTGTCCTCACAAGTCAAACATCAGGAAACTATGGAATGGCACACAGTCTGGCAAGAGGAACACTCCACAAATGGAGCACAGTGGCTGCTTTGAAGGTGCCTCTTGATTCTGCTTGTCCAACAGTGAGCCCTGGGATCCTGCCATACACACAGCTTGACTCCTTTCACACCAAGGCTACAGCGACACTGTTTCCTGATGCAAACACAGACCCTTCCTAGGGGTTTTCCATGCCAGTGTAGTGTCACCTGATAGAAACACTGAGGTTCACCGACCAGTGAATTTGAAAGTTTAGATTGGTTCCAATAGTACATGATTTCAAAATACTATGATAAACATCCTTGTATGAAGCATTTTTGGTTTTTTGGATTTTTTTAAATTGTAGATGGAAACCTTATCTTTATTTTATTTATTTTTATGCGGTGCTGAGGATCGAACTCAGTGCCTCACACATTCCCAGGCAAGTGCTCTACCACTGAGCCACAATATTGGCCCCTTTAGGATTTTTTCCCCTTAGGTTAGAGTCAAATAATATGTTAAAAGACATGAAAGGGCCAGGGTGCAGCTCAATGGTACAGCATTTAACTAGCATGTGCAAGCCCCTGGGCCAATATCTAGTGTCTCCCACACACAGCATGAAAATGGAAATGTGTGAGGTGCAGATAAAGCAGTGCTTAGAGGGAAACGCATAGCTTTAAAAGCTTATTTCAGAAAATAAATGACATATAGTTCCAAATTAAAAAGCTAAAAGAAGAAAGCAAATTAAATCTAAAGTCAAACAGGAAATAACAATGACAAGCATTAAATCAATGAAATATAAAGCAAGCAGAAACTACATAAAATTTAAAGACTGGTTCTTTTAAATAATTGATAAAATTAATAACCAATATCTAGAATGATCAGAGAGAGAGAGAGAGAAAGAGAGAGAGAGACCAAATGACCCAAATACGAGGGAAAGGTGACACTATAGACCCTACATGCTTCATGAGGGATGAGAGAACACTGTGGATAACTTTATACCAATAAAACCAACAATTTAGATGAAATGGGCAATTTCCTTGAAAAGCACAAATTACCAAAGGTCATCCGCGAAGAAATGATCTGAATATCACTCTATTAAAATTTTGAATCCATGATTTAAAATTACCTCACACAACCAGACCCAGTGGCACACACTTGTAACCCCAGTGACTCAAGAGGCTAAGAAAAGACAGGAGGATCACAAGTTCAAGGCCAGCCTCAGCAAGTTAACCAGACCCTGTCTCAAAATAAAAAATAAAAAGGGCTGGGAATGGAGCTCAGTGGTAAAGTGCCCCTAGGTTAAATCCCCAGGACCAAAAAAAGAAAAAAGAAAATTTTAAATAAAAGATAAAATCTCCTTAAACATATACACAGCTCTAGGCCCAGAAGACTCAACTGGTAAATCCTGTCAAACACTTAAGGAATAAATCAAACAGTTCTATACAAACTTTTACAGAAAAAAAAAAGAGGGACCATTTTCCAACTCATTCTATGAGGCTGTATTTCCCTAATACCAAGACAATATCAAAAAAGAAATTCTTGCTCTTTTTTTTTTCCAAGGCAACTGGGAAGATGGCAGACATCCAGATGGAACGTGCCTACCAAAAGCAGCTGACCATCTTTCAAAACAAGAAGAAGGTCCTGCTGGGAGAAACTGGGGAGGAGAAACTCCCTCGATACTACAAAAATATTGGCCAGTGCATCAGGTCACCAAAAGAGGCCATTGAGGCACCTATTGAAAAGAAATACCCCTTCATGGTGATACTTCTATCCAAAGGAGGGTCCTGACTGTTGTGGTGACCAAGATGAAGATGCAGAGGATCATCGTGATCCCTCAGGACTACCTCCACCACGTCTGCACATACAATTGCTTTGAGAAGCGCCACAAGAACAGGTCTGTGCACTTGTACCCCTGCTGCAGGGATGTCCAGATGGGTGACATCATCAGAGTGGGCGAGTGCAGCCCCTTGAGCAAGACAAGTGTGCTTCAATGCACTCAAGGTCACCAAGGCTGCTGCACCAAGAGGCGGTTCCAGAAGCTCTGGGACTGATGCCTGCCCACCCCGCAAAGCAAAATAAAGTCATTTTCTAATCTAAAAAAAAAAAAAGAAAAGAAAGAAATTCATGAACCAATGTCACTCATAAAGACAGTAGCAAAAATTCTTAACAACCTCATTGTAATTCTGATCAATATGTAGAAGGAATTATACCTCATTCTCAAGTAATGTTGACCCAAGATTAGATTACATCCAAAACTCTTAACTCACATTAATAGAATCAATGCAATTGATTAATCCATTAATATTGATTTACTTAATCTATTAATATAAATATAGTTATGAATTAATGTAGTTCCTATTAATAAATTAAGAGGAAATTATATAATCAGGTCAATAGACACAAAAAAGAAACTTGACAAAATTTAACATCCCTTTATGATTAAAAACTCACTATGAATGAAAAAATAAAGGAACCTTCCTAAATCTGGTAAGATCTGCCTCTGAGAACACGGTGACTGGTGCTAAAGGCAATATGCTCTCTCCTAAGGTTGGAAACCAGGCAAGGACATGCACTCTCACTTCTGCCGCTCAACCCTGTACTGAAGGCCCCAGTTTGAACACTAAAATAAGAAAAAGAAACATAAATCATGCAGATTGAAGAGGGAAAGGAAGAGCTAGCTGTCTTTGTTTTCAGGCAACACAATCTTCTGATAGAAAATTCTAAGAAATTTACAAAAAAAAAATACCATGAGAGTGAATTTAGCAAGGTCATAATATGCATAAAAAACTGCTCAAAAAAAGTGGTCAAAACTCAAGTGTGTTGCCATATACCAGAAATGAACAACAAAGTGAAGTACTGGGTGCTTCCACTGAAAATAACATTAAACCTAAAATGTCTAGGAGTGAAGGTAGAATAAGATGTTCAAAACTTACACAATGAGAACTATGGAACAGGGCAGAGAAATATCAAAGAATCACAGTGAATGGAGGGCACACCGAGGTCCTGGGCTGGAAGATTCTGGGTGTTTCAATGCCCGTTTTCCTTTATCAATCTATAGACTTAAGGTAACTCCAGCCACTGCTACCTCCTCCTCCCCCCTTCTTCCCTCTTTCCCTCTCTCCTCCTTCCCGTCTTTTTAGAAATTTAACATTATTTCTAAAATACATATGGACTGCAAAGGACCCAGAACAGCCAAAAGAAGTGGTTTGATGTTGTTTTTGGGGGGTGGGTACTTGGGGTTGAACTCAGGGGCACTCGACCAATGAGCCACATCCCCAGCCCTATTTCGTATTTTATTTAGAGACAGGGCCTCACTGAGTTACTTAGCACCTAGCTTTTTGCTGAGGCTGGCTTTGAACTCGCGATCCTTCTGCCTCAGCCTATTATAGGGGTGCACTACCGCGTGCCTGGCACCAAAAGAGTTTTGAACATCTAAGTTGGGATACTCACACCATCTAGGTACAAGGTGTGTCACAAAGCTGAGGTCAGTCATTGAGGTCACGTCAAGATGGCCTAAGGTTGGCACATAGAGGAGGCAGAGCAGAGGATCCCGAAGTAGACCCATGGGTCTACACAAAGATGCCAGTTGAACAGGAAATGCAGCAAGTGGAGCTGGAATCTAGAGGCCCACGTGAGACAAGGTCAACCCAGACCTCAACACGCACCTTGCCAAATTTAAAATGGCTCATAGACCCAAACACAAAAGCTAGGGACTTCTAGGAAATGATTTCATAATCATGAGTATGTACTTCTTCGATTTTTATGTGTGATAACAATCCACAGAAAGTTGTCTTTAAATCTATTTGTTGGCCTAACTCAAAATAAGGGAAGGCAGCCTGTGTGAGCCCTCATGCTTGAGCTGTGGGACACTGCTGTAAGGGTGCTCTCCTGCCACTTAAAGTGTCATTTGTGGGATGTGCAGGCTTTTGTCCCTGGGGACAGAATCTGAATTCTAAATCACATCAGTTCCCAGGGCTTCAGTCAGCGCTGGTGGAGCCTTAACAATAGCAATATTTCAGAAAGCAGAGTGCATTCAGACGCCTTTTTATTCTTTAGGAGAACACTCCAAAAGTGGAACTTTTTGGAAACACAGTAGCAGAGGCTGCTGTGCTTCCCCCTGGTCCCTGGGCAGAAATGACACCTCTGCTCACTGTCACCCAGGACCTGCAGCAGCAGAGGCCTGTGAGTGTGCAGGCCAGGACAGTGCCGGGCACACGCCACCACATCCTGACCTTACCACAAGTCGAGCCAGGACCTATGGCACACACCTGTAAGAGGCTGAGTCTGGCTCTGACAGCTGTCGCCACCCTGACCTCACATCTTGCCTCCCTGCTCTGCTAAGCCACTCTAAGATCACTGTATACTTATAGACACGTCATGAGTCCTTGGCAGTGAGAGTTGCCACCTCATCCGTGGATTGCCCTTCTGCTCTCAGAGGGCTGTGGCCAAGCCCTCCTTCTGGCTTGTTCTTAATCAGCTCTGCAAACCAAGGTGCTGATAATGGTTCTCAGCAGGTGGGGCAACCCCACCCAGGTACATCTTGCGACCTGGGCCTCTGCCCTCAAGTCAGCATGTGTGATCCTGACATTTCCTGAACAGCCTGGAGGCAGGAGGACTTGTCCCTCTTCTTGGCTTTGAAGGAAAGTCAATAGTGATCCTTGATTCCTTGTGGCGGCTGAGGGACACCTTCCCAGGTGGACAGAGTGAATGCAGGTGGCCGCTGTCCTCAGGAAAGCATCCCTGTCCTTTGGCAGAAACAGATTGTGGACAGGGCCAAATTATTTACATAAAATTATGTAGGCAGAAAATGTTGGCACGGGGTGAGTCAGGAGGGCCTGTACCAACCCAGCCCTGCGGCAGGCCACCTGTGAACAGGCCTCAGTAAACGGCTTCGCTCCCAAGGAGGGGTTAACCCTATGCCACAAGAACAAACGGCCCCCGACCACTCAGTCCCCAAAACGACCAGAACAAGTCAGGAAGACCATGCCAAGATGACCTTCTCTGGGTTGGCGATGCACTTGAAATGGCCAAAGCTGCTCTTCTTGAAGGTAAAGTCAGAACACTAACGCTTTCCCTTGACCACCAAGTTTTAAAGTACCATTTCCTGCTCCAATAATCAGCATGACTGGCGTTGGCAATAGATTTTCAAGAATTCTCAGCTCAGCTGTGACCTCTTTTTTTTGCAACTTTGTATTTAATAAATCATCTTTATAAAGATTCCTCTGCATTGTCCATTGTTTAAATCTGCAGAAGATTAAAAAATATCCTCACTTATATTAAATGGAAAAAACTCAACAAGCATCTAAGCCCTTAGTTGACACTCCCGGTGAGCGTTGTGTCTTGTTCCTCTGAGCGATGCACAGAGGGTGAGTCGAGTTTGTTCCTTGTTACCGTGGAGGTTAACTGTCATCCCTGGATCAGGCCAGATTCCAGCCCTAGAAGACATCAGAGCAGATGAGCCTGTGAATGAACAATCGCTAAACCCAGTGGTTTTGGGGAGAAGATGCTATTCAATTACATTATTATACTGGGTGCCCTCTGTTCAGAAATAAACCTCACCAGATAGATACATTAGACATTTCTCTATATGACAATTAATTGTTCAGTGACCCATTTTTTTTTCAACCAAGTAGTCTTGCTCCGGTGGTCCCGGCCAGCCACTTTCCTTCCCTGTCTTTTAGAAGAACGAGGAAAGGGTGACGTAGGGCCATCAGAGGCGAGGGTGGTCAACAGCCACAGACGCGAGGGAGTCCAGGAGCATGGGCTGAGTTTGGACTTGGCTTTGACGAGGACGGCCATTTTCTATGTTGGTGGAGAGCAATGTTAACAACATAATGGGGTGACCAAGAAAGCAGGCAACAGAGTGAAGACGGCACCTGGAGGCTCTGGACGGAGACAGCCGGGCACGTTGCCTGGAAAGGAGGAAGGCGAAGAGTTTGAGAGGGGGGGGATGGCTGAAAATCAGCGAACTCTCCATAAACTAAAGTAGACCCAGGTGCTTAGATCAGACACAAGTGGTAGGCCTGTCGGCTATGGTCTAGCACAGAGGGGCAGCTGCACCTGCCCAGGTGACTAATGAGAGGACTGAGAGTCCCCCAGGCTTTGGGGAAAAAGGGTGAGCTCAGCAAGCAGACCCATCATCTTGCAAGATGTGCATCCCCTCCAGATTCAGGGGGACCACACCCAAAGCACCAAGATAGAGCAGAGCAGATGAGTCAGCCGTGAGGGGGCTGGTCTCGTCTGCACTCAGGGCCTTCACCAGCGCAGGTGTCCAGTCCGCACCTAGAGATGCTCCACCACTGAACTACATCCCCAGACCTCTATTTGTTTTCTCCATAAGTTGCCCAGGCTAACCTTGAACTTGCAGTTCTCCTGCCTGAGTCACTGGAATGTCAGGTGCGGCCACTGTGCTCGGACAACTGATGACACAGTGTCATTGGGCTAGCTCTTCTGAGTTAGGAAAGACACGTGTGGGTCCCGATAATCTTTGAAACAGCTCTCACGTGTTGAAAGCAGTTGCTCACTAACAGTTCTGCCCCGTCTACTTGTAGCTGACTGCAATCTCAGCTTGGTCCCCAGGACTCATAAAGGCTAATGTTTTCAAAACTCTTTTCATTTCAACTACTGTGTTGTTAATTTCTAGACATTTAAGCAAGTGTGCGTTATTGAAACAGGCTCACACCTGAAGCAAGGATGTCTTAGAATAATTGAGATTAAGACGGTTCCTCACTGACTCACTCAGCTACTGCAGTTTGCAATTTATTCAAATATAAGAATAATTCAAGTTTAAAAATCAAAAATTCAACTTTTTTACTTTCTTATTATTTGTGCTTATGGTTTTCTGACTTCTCAACTAAACAGAAAAACCCAGTTGGTGATATTAGGAGTATTCCGTTACATAATGCCTTTCTTTCTTTGGTGGAAAAAGTTTTTATTATCCCTTTCAGTTATAAAATTGAAGCATCTTAATATAAAACAGGACTTTCTACCAATACAAAGTTTCTTATATATCCTTCAGTACAATTTTGTAACCACCATTTTATTTTATTCCATTTTAAATTTTTTATTTCTTTTTTAAATTTTTTAATTTATTGATCCTGGAGATTAATAAATTAAAGCAAAAGCATTGAGCTACACCCCCAGTCTTTGTATTTTATTTTTTGTTTTTATTTTGAGACAAGGTCTCACTAAGTTGCTGAGGCTAACTTGAACTTGTGATCCTCCTGCTTCAGCCTCCTCAGTAGCTGGGACTATAGGTGTGTGCCATGCCCAATTTATTTATTTTTAATCTATTTGTAACTGATACATAAAAACATAAAAATGAACATACTAATGGGGTACCACATCTTTTTTGTCATACACTTTAATTTATTCCTGGGTATTTTAATCTTCTGTGTTTCACTGGTCATGTGTCGTCTTCTGCCACAGATTCCCACTGGCTCTGGTGTATAAATAGAAGTGTGGATCTGAACTTACATTTAACATTTGAAAGCTCTCACTTCTGGTTTTCTTTTTATGATGTTTTGGATTTTTCAGGCAGACCATCATATTAGCAGGTGAAATGAAGACCATGGTGCCATTTAAAGCTAAATTAGGATATGCCTGAGAATGGAAAATACTTGATGGATGTTTTTTCCAAACCACAAATTTAATTAAACTGTTTTTAAAAATATGAGTCAAGTAAAATACTTGCAACACGTGATATCATAATTTTTGAAGTGGATTACCTTGAGTAATAAGCCATTCCAAAATAATTCTTTAAAAGCAAGAAGCTTTAGGTGTGGTAGAACACAGCTGTAATCCCAGCAACTCGTCAGGCAGAGGCTGGTAAATTTGAAACCAGACTCAGCAATATAGTGAGAATCTGTCTCAAAATAAAAAAAATTTAAAAGGACTAGGGTTGTAGTCCAGTGGTAGGATGCCCCCTGGTTTAATCTCCATTCAGAAACAACAACAAAAGCCCTCCAACAGGTGATATAGTCCCTGCTGAGAGCAAAACCCTGAGACAGTGTCTCCCTGCCTCAGCACCTGGCCTGCTCAGGTCTGCTGATCCTGGGGGGAGAGAGGTGACGTGGCCTCTTGCCATGTCTGTCCTTGTCCACTGTAGGCCTCCCATGGACTTAGCTGAGGGTGCCCAGCAGGGTCTGTCCCACCCACCACACTCTCCTGACTGGTCTCCTGAGTTGTCTTCTCTGGGGGAGATGGAGCAAGGGTGAAGCCCCCATTCACTGCCCAAGGGTGTGGGGTCGCTGTCCCACCTCTGACTGCCCCCGGTGGCAGGGAAGAGTCCTCTGAGTGCCAGGCTCAGCACGCGGCTCCCTGCTCTCCTTGGTGTTCTGCAAGCCCAGGCAGACTCAGGCACCCTCTCCTCTGCTCTGTTGGTGCCCCAGGGCTGAGCTTGTCCGCAGCAATTTGGGAGACTGGGACCAACATTGACCGGTCCTCTGAGTGTGCTATGACCTCGAAACTTCCTTTGTGATCACAATCAGGGACAGAAGGTGGGGCTGTGAGGGCAGTGGTTGTGAAATGAGGGGCCAGAAGCAAAGGACGACATTAATTAAGTATGACATAGAATATTCATAAGACCGGAAATAAAACCTGAGAATAGAATTGGAGCCAAAGTAGAAGACCTGCCCACGGATGAGCCACAGGCTGCCCACACGGGGTGTGGAAGGTGTCAGCAGGCTGGCAGGAGAAGACCCTTCACTGAAGGGACTGCACCCAGGTGTGGGAGTCATCAGCCCCAGGGGATGGGGAGGGGAGGAAGGTCACAGGCAAGAGCCCCAGGACAGCAGGGTGGAGGAGACAGCCCCCCAGGGAGGGGTGGGAGAAGCACCTGCTACTTTGCCATGGTCCCCCCACCCCGAGGTTGGGCCCTGCTGGACACAGCAGGAAAGGAGGCTGGGCTTGGCTCTGGGGCTCCAGCAGAGGGGACCGCGTGAGATGGGCAGCACAGAGGGACCAGGGCACAGCAGTGTGGCGGGGTCCGTCCCTCCCCCACAGAGGTCCTTTTGGCTGCAGACTGTGAGCTAGGAGGGGGCTGGGAAGGGACGCTCACGTACCTCACATACATGGCCTCACACCTGCAGGATGAGGCTGCCCCTGGTGGTCTGGGCTCTGCCAGCTACTCTGAAGTGGAGGGGTGACCGTGAGGGGTGCTGTGGCCGAGGAGAGTCTTCCCTTCGGCTGGCCAGGGGGTTTGGGGGTTCTCCTGTTGCCTGCAGGCCCTTCTCTCAGCAGACTCACCACAGCTCTGACGGAGACAGCAGAAGGCCAGCTCTAGGAACGAGCTCATGGGTGTCCATCTCTGCCTAGCGTTTCTGCTGGGATGTCACGGAGCCATGTGTGGACAGGAACCAAGGCAGTGAGGCTTGGGGGCTGAAGAACACGACTCACGCAGGACTCAACCGGCAGCTCCACCTCCAGCCTGGGTACCAGCTCAGGAGTATCCTATCCAAGGACAGAGTCCCTCTCCAGGGACCCGAGTCCTTCTGGCCAGTGGTGTCAAACCATCATCACTGTCATTTGGATTTGCACAGCTCTGCCCTGTCATTGGAGCTCATGGTCCATGCTCTGTCCTGGTCCTCTAAGCACCCCAGTCAGGACCTTGGCTACACAGGTGACCAGATCACACCTCCAGAAGTTGTAGGCCTGCTCTGCTATGGCCACCAGGGAGCCATTTGTGCTGGAGGGAAGCAAGCTGCCCCTGTGCCTGCCCCAGACCAGGCCACACAGCCATCCTGCCCTGGACCCAGGCTAAGTGCCATCCAGTGTGTCCAGGAAGCCTGGCTGCAGCCGTCAGTGGGCAAGTGAGGCAGGGTTGCTGCCCTCGGGGAAGAGCAGAGGACGGAGCCTGTGGGGTTTGCAGCACCTAGCTCAGCTGGCTACGCGGACAGGCTCAGGGAGATGTGACTCTGATGGAGACCTAGAAGGTCCTTGGTACGTCAGCCTCAGGGCTGAGGAGTGGCAGGAAGCAAAGGAGCTACCTGGAATAGAAGGTGCACCACCGTCTCCTACCTCCAGCTGTGGGAACTGTCGGGTCCCTCAGAGCAAGGAGGAGGAGGAGGAGGAGGGTGGACCCTGGGATCTTGTGAGCTACCAGTCGCAGCCTGACACCCGTGGCAACGTTATAGGCCATAGATGGTGTGATTGGCTGGCTGTGTGCACAAAGGCTCCCTTCTGAATTTCCACTGTCAAAGGAGACCTTGGACGGGAGCCCACAGTCGAGGGAGAGGGCAGACCTGGATGACCCTGCAGATTCTCAACCCTCCTCACACTCTCAGTCCTGTGTGGTTGGTGGCATGCAGGCATCTGGCCAGGCCTGCCCAGGCCCTCTTGAGGTGGTCTAAATGGGGCCCTGGTTGTCATCCATTTTCAGGGGGTCCTTCCAGGGTCCTTGTGTGCAGTGGCTGCTTATGGCCATCATAGTAGTTAGGGGCTGGTGCTCACCACTGAGTCCCCCGGCCACCTGCACCTGTGGAGCATCCAGTGGTGGAAGGTCCTCTCCCAGGGCTGACCAGATTACGGCAGAGCCAGGGTGTGGGGCACCAGGGAACTCATGGATGCGCTTCCCAGACGCAGATGCTGTCTCTTCCACTGGGCCCTGGGGCCAGGAAAGCCAGAGCTCTCAGGATCTTGTTCCAAGAACGTGAGCTCAGGAGATGCAGGGGCCCTGAGACAGATTGGTTCTCTGCAATCTCTTTTTGGGGAGATCTGGAGCTTGGGGGGTACTTCCTGTATTTCTACAGGGACATGCAGGGTGTGGACAGGGCCTCTGAGCCCTTGCCCTCTAGGGTGGCCGGCGCTTGGTTAAGCATTTGCCCCTCAGCCTTGGTTTCCCTGTCTGTGAGATGATGCACCACAGCTGAGTTACCCCTGAGACTGCTGTAGGACAGAAGCCTGGACAGGAGACCCCCAGCAGTTCCTGGCTCAGGGGTCCCCCAGGGGTGTTTGCTGACTGCAGTCTCCGACTCAAGTCCAGCCTCTGTGGCCGAGCTGTGCTGGGAGACTCTGGTGTCTCCTGCATTTTCCTCATATACCACCCTTCTAATCCACCAGAAAAGACTAAGTCCAGGATCACACCCAGCATCACAACCTGATGTTATATAAAAAGAAGAGTGCTTTCAAGCGAGCTTTTCTTCCTTACCGCCTTTCCCGCGGCTCCCAACAGTGCAAAGCCAGCTGCTTTTAACCTCGAAAAAGGTAAACCAGAGGCCCCACTCGGAGCTATTTTAAGCACAGACTTATAAAGTAAAAGCAGCTGTAAAATGAAAAGTTTCAGGAACATTTCCATTTCCTTGGATGATGGGGCAGAGAGGCTTGCCAGTGGGCCTGGCAGCCAGATCAGCTGCTTGGACGGAGCCTGGTGTCCGGGCCTCCCCCAGCTCCACCTGGCATGGGGCAAGGCCCAACATTTTCCACAATGATCCTGGCCAACGTCAGTGCCAAGTTGCTGTCTTGCATCCAGTGGTGATGGTGGCAGAGGCCCTGTCTGCTGTGTCTGGTAGGAGCTCAACCTGGGGCCCACCGCAGGCTGGGGCTCAGGAGGGTGAACAGCTTGGAGATGCCTGCCTGGCCCTGCCCTCTCAGAGCTGGCCAGCCCCACGGCTGTCCTCCTGTGACTCTCCCTCCCTACCTGCAGCCCAGCCGAGCCTTCTGGCGAGCCCGGGAGAATCGTGGGTGCCCCTCTGGCTTTCCTCTGCCTCCCAGCCTAGGGGTCTAGCTGGGGGCTTCTGGTCAGATCCCAGGAGCAGGCTAGGGGGGGTGAGCTAGCCAGGGAGCTTGCCTCAAGGCAGAAGCCCCCAGGGTGCCCTGTCAAGACACGGGGCCAGCATCCTGCCCCAGGGCCAGGCTCAAAGTCTGAGCTGGACCTACAGTGCCACCTTGATGACAGGGCTGCCATCAAGTCAGAGCCGTGTGCCTGCCCCGTGAGTGAGTGCTGACTGCCAGCCCCGAGTGGGCCCTGCTAGATGCCTGGTCCCAGGGGTGCAGCCCAAGGCAGTGAAGCCAGGGCAGGGGCAGGGCTGCAGCCTGGCCCACGCGGGGCAGCAGGGCAAAAGATCTGTCCTGCCCACTAAACCGGCCTGTTGTCACCTGGGGCCTGAGCCCTCAGCTCCATAGGCCAGGGGGCCTGCAGTGGCCTGGATACCGCGTCCACTCAGGTGATCACAGAGGTGCCTTCCCTACCTCCCCAGTGTGGAGGGAGCCTGGTGTGGGCTAGAGGTCTTCATCATCCCTCCCCTCTCTCTATCCCCACCTCTGTCTGCTCTGTCCCTCGCCTGGCCTGGCCATGTCCACCATCATCAGGGCCAGACACTTGGACCAGACACAAAGCACAGGTGAGGCAGGTACTGGTGGGACCTGATGAGAACCCCTGGGTACCCCATCATGGCACCAGCTTTGTCCCGTGTCCAGAGAGATGGGGGCTGAGGCACCCCACTTGAGGTCTCGAGGGGCTTGTGTAGTGGACTCCAAAGGTGCCTGACAGGGCCTGCCCTGAGCCCCGTGGGCTGCCTGGGGTTGGCGTCCTCCGTGGCTCCTCGTTCCCCTGCCCGGGATCGTCCGGCGCCGCCCAACTGAGGTGGACAGACAGCCTCCCCGCTGCAGCTCCTCTGGGCCTGACGTCGCTGGGTGGCCTCCTTCCCCAAGTGAGCCAGCGCGTTGACCCCGCCAACCCTGGTGAGGGACACAGTGGTTGCTGCTCTGTGGCTTCATGTCCCCTCACCACCTTGGCTTTCTCCTCGGCCTTCAAAAAATTCAACATTTTTATTGATGATGACAGGGGGAGTCTTAGTGTCCCCTGTTGTCGAGGGACATTGGGACGTTTACCCGTGGCTGCTGCCACACGGGAGGCGTTTGGTGGCACGTCAGTGCACGACAGCCCTTGGACCCTGGAAGAAGCCGTTCCCTGGCAGCTCAGATGTCTTGTGTGTCCTGTGTCCTGGTGTTGTCCTGTGTCTGTGTCCTGAGTCCTGGTGTCGTGGACTGGCCCTGCCACACACGACGTGCAGGGCTGGGGCACTCCTTCAGAGCTTCCCCCGCACCGGGGGCTTCACCTCTGTGTGCTGGGCTCTGGCAACTCGAAGGCCCAGCGTAGTGCCCCAAGGCAGAGACTGAGGCCGGCCTGCAGCCCCTGGGGGCCCGCAAGCCACTGTTCAGAGGGCAGAGACGAGGCTGGGTGGTTCTCTCCTCGGATGTGAAAGAGCACAGGGCCAGGTGGGTGTGGAAGTGCCCATGAGCCTCAGCTGATGAGCCTGCGACCCTGGGCCTGGCTCTCTCCTCTGCAAATCCAGTGAAGGGCAGAGGCACACAGTGGCAAGCAGGGCGCAGTGGAGGGAGGTGCTGCCTAGCAACAGAGGCACTCGAGTTTCAGCCGTGGGACCCTCACTGTCACGGCCATGAGGGCTTCGAGCCTGTGCTCAGGTGTGTCCCTCTCCTACAGAGCCCACTGTCCCTCCAGGTGTTGTTTACCAGCCCTGACAATCCCCGGTGGCCGTGCTGGGGCAAGTCCCTGTTAGTATCTGGTAGGTGCCGCCCCGCCCAGGGAAGTTCCGGGGACAGCTCTTGTGCTGGGCAGGAGTTCCTGTTTGCCTTCGGGCTTCCTGAGGAACTGGGCCGCAGGAGCCTGGCTGCAAGAGCTTCACCAGCAGCGCTCAGACCCATCCTCCCCAGAATGCTCTACTCAGCTCTGACCCAAGAGCCTGACCCGTGCTCTGGGGTCTCCTTGCACACCTGCGTGGACACAGCTTACACCAGAGAGGACCTGCTCTGCTAGGGTGATGCAGGGTCCACTTCTGAGGCTGTCGGGGGTGTCCGAGGACAGCAAGGCTGGGCCATCCAGCCTGACTGGGTCCTGGGAAGCAGACGTGAGGCCCCCAGACTGGAGGCAGAGTTTCTGGATGGGACTTTATTTATGCACTTGAGGGGACAGGACATTGGCATCTTCTCACATCCTTCCCCAGGGGACAAGCCAGGAGGTAAGTCTGACAGAGACAGAGCAGAGACCAGAGGTCCAGAGGGACCAGGGCCCTCCCCCGTGGGGAGCCAGCCACACACCCTGTTATCAGGAGGTGCTGGCCCCTTCCAAGCCCCATCTTCAGCCTCAGCGAGGCCTCACAGGACCTGGGCAGTATCACTGGGAACCAACGAACCTCAAGCTTCTGTTTGCCAGGAAAGGAAAGGCCAGGCCCAGGGGGGCTGAAGAGGGGTGGGAGGTTGCAGCTGGGGAGCAAGTGGGTTAGGCCTCTGGTAAATGCATGGGTGCTGCTGACCATGGGTTAAAACACCACCCCATCCCCCCCAAAAGAAAGCACAGGCCCAACACAAACGTCCATTGACCAGTACGGCTCCAATAAATGACTGCACGGCTCTCACATCTGCCTTCCACACGGGGCAGGTTTGTCCGGACGGAAGGGCAGGAGGAAATGTCCTGGTGGAGCTGGCGATGCAGACACAGTGGGCAGAGCACCTGCTCGCTCGCCATGCCTTCCCACCCATGACACGGGAGGGGGTCCGCAGCCTGTGGCGAGAAGGCTCCGGTGGACACATTGCTCTGCTTTTTCTAGGGTATGGGTTCTTACAAAAAGCACGTATCATTTTCTAGAATCAGACAAAGCATGAACTGTTTTCACTGTGCCTCTGGATGGGGGCAGCCTGCCCCAGACAGTCTGCCTGGGAGGGCTGGTACTGGGCTCTGGGGTGGGGCGGCTGGGTTGGCACAGTCTGCACTGGGCTTTCTTAGTTACCCTGGCCCCTGGTTACAAATGTGGCCCCCGGTCAGATGGGGTGGGCGGTGGCCTGTGTGGGGTTCAGCAGGCCACCTCTGAGGGGGTCAGGGCCCTAATAAGGAGCTCAGAAGATAATTGAGGATTTGGGCGAGGCACGGGTGCCCTGGGGCTATGTGGAGGTGGCTTGTTCCTGTACCAGCAGAAGTGACTGTCCCTGTTCATGTGACGTTGATGTGAATGGAAAGGAGCTGGCAAGGCGCAGTGCTGGCCCCGTGGCAGCTGCTGTTCCCAAGAAGCCGGTTCTAGGCCTGGGTGTTCCTGGCCACCATGGTGTACATCACACATCTGCAGGCAGTTCTCACGGGGACAACCCAGGGCCTGCTCCTGCCTGGCCAATGTGCCACCCCAGCCCCAGCCCCAGAGAGCCACCTGACTGCTGGAGCGGGGGCAGGCTGGCTTCCCGGCAGCGTGACATGGACCCAGAGACTCTTCTCAGGCCTGATGCTGGCCTTGAAACCCGAGCTGTTCGTGAACAAGGGGCCCCCATTTTCCCTCTCACAGGCCTCCCGAAGGAAGGAAGCAGCAGTCCAAGAGAGCTTCCTCGAGTCCAGGAAAAGCCTGCCTGTGATGACCCCAGGGGCAGGGCAGGGCAGGGCGGACAGAGAGGCCTCCTCCTGGGAGGGCTCCCGAGGAAGAGCCAGAAGCCAGCCCCCCACTGCACCATGGGGTGGGGCACCTGGGTGGAGGTCAGCAGAGGGCCCAGGCTCAGTGACCAGCGTGGGGCACCAGCAGCCTCACAGGCCTCACGTGCTCTTCCCTCTCTGTGCTTCCAGGAGGAGAGGCCACCTGCAGGAGCGCTCTGTCCTCGCCTAATAATGACTCCCAGCGCCAGCCCAGCTATTTTTAGAGTCCCCTTGCCCAGCCTGGTGTGACTCAGCAAGGCCAGCTGGGAAGAGAGAGCTATGGCCGACGCAGGAGGGATGTTGGGGGGTGGGGCAGGGCTACGCCACGCCGAGGGCGCCAGGCCCGCCACAGGACCTGGGGCCCTGGAGCCTGGCCTGCGGAGCCAGAACGGCACAGTGTTCTCCCCGCCCCCAGCCACCGCCGCCCTCCTGGCTCCCAGCGGGCTCCTCCCCAAACTGGAGCATGGAAAATCTGATGTCAGAATTCCAGCGTCAGCACGGAATGCGGCCTGACCTTCACCTCCCAGAGCGCCAGGCCCAGCGCCTCGGGCGCAGGCTGGGCCCCCCAGCATCTCTGGACACCCTGGGGCCACCTCCTCCTACCAGGCCACCTCTCCTGGGGGCCGTCCACCCTCCCCCTCTGCCTGGTCCCCATGGCCATCCTGGCTGGCTGGCTCCCACAGTGTGGCCCTGCTGCTCAGCACCCAGATGTGCCACTCGGCATGTCCCTGGACTGGCCTGGCCTCAGCAGCCAGACTGTTGGTGCAGCTGCCCAGAGCTCTGACACTGGAACGGCTTCAGGGGCGGGTCATGGGGGGTGGTCGTGAAGCCATGGGGCAGCACCTGCCCCAGCCTTTAGCCCTGGACCTCCCGGGCTTTGCTGAAGCCCCAACTCCCCACTCCTAGAAGAGTCTGGCTTCAGGATGGAGGAAAGTAGCAGACCAGGAGAGCTGGGGGGTGCACTGTATGTGTGCGTGCTTCTGCATTGTACACGTTATGTGCAGGTACACCTATGATGAACACGCATAGTCATGCGTGTATATGTGTGCATCATGTACGGGGACTGCATACAAACACAGACAGGGCTGTGGCTCCGTCAGAACCACATCACTTGTCTCTGCAGGAGGAGGGGCACTGGGGACCCTCCTGGAAAACAAGGAGGCCTGGTAGTGAGTGAGGTAGGGGAAAGCGATAGCTTTCTATTTGGGTGACCAGCTCTGGGTGGGGGCAGGGTGAGGCAGTCCTTCTGCCTTCTTTGGGGTCAGTCCCTGTCTGCAGGCTGACTAGCACCCAGCCCTCCAAGGCTCCCCTTGGATCTCCCATATCTGTGTCCATGGAAGTCTCCAAGGAAGATATGTCCGCGCTGGGGGTCACAGCACTTGGAACCTCCTCTTGATTGTTTCTCTGCTTCAAGAGCTAGGGTGCTTTATATTTAGAGAAGAAAATTGCTTCCTAAACATGGATAATAACAGCAAATCATACCTTGTTGATCCTGCACTTTTTTTTGTCTCCTAGTCTGACTTTAATGAAGCAAAGGAAAATAGAAAGATTTATAATAAGTTAGAATGAAAGCATTATGCTGCTTTTCATTAACTTCAAAGTCCCTTGGAAAACGGTTTCCATTTAAAGTACTTGGCCGGCCACCTGACTGTGTACTTCCTCCTTGAACTTCCCAGGGAGATGCCCTGAAATGAAGAAACCAACCCCACAGCACCAGCAAAACTAGGACTGGTCATCTTCCATGGGCATCTGGCAGGGATTTTGACCAACCAGGAGACCGGCAGACCCCTGGACAATGGTACTGGTGGTACAGGGTGCTGAGGCATAGGAAAGTGGTGGCTTTTTATTTGGAAACCCTGGCCAGTGCCCCTTGGAAATGTCTGTGGGTCTACTTCAGGGACAGCTGTGCTGGGCTGCCGTCTCTAGAATCCAGCAGGTGGAGGGTTAGGGACTGCCAACTAAGCCACAGGGACCCTTCCCCTCAGCCCCAGGAGGGTGTTACAGGGCAGAGGACTACAAGGAAACAGAGGCAGCCACGGAGACCCCCTCTTCAAATCCGGATTCTTGTAATTGTGTCACAAGGTTTCAGACTTGCTGCTCAGGCACCACAAGCTGGGCGAGGGGAGGCAGCAGCCAAGTGCTCAGGGTGTCCCGGCTTTGAGTGCAGGGGCTCCGGCACAGGCGCTCAGAGGACAGAGGAGTGTCTGGACATGCACTTGGGCACCCAGGAACAACTCCCCAGGCTACTGTCCAGCCTCAGCTCTGGGAGGGGAAGAACAGATCCTAGTGGACTGCCACAGAAGAAATCCCGCCACTCGTCCAGCCTGAGGCAAACAGGGCCAAGTGTCCTGCACATGCAGAGGTGCACACGCACACACACGTGCCACACATATACCCACCCCAGGCACACACATGTACCACACACTCATACCATGCCCCGACACCCAACCCACGTCCTCCCTGAGCCTCCCCACCACCTCGTGGGCCCACAGGAGCGTCCTGCAGCAGGATCGAGGCACCGTTCTGGGGTTAGACCAGCAGAACCCACCTCTGATGAACGTCTGGAAACCCCAGAGCTCTGCACCCTGGGGAGCAGCAGAGTTCTCTGGGGAGACACAAAGGAGAGAAGAGGAAACGGCAACAGGAGATAACGGGGACAACCTGGGACTCGGCTTGGAGGGACAGTCAAAGTGCCCACAGTGACACTCGGACGCTGAGGTTGGCTGCCAGAGCTGGCTTGGGAGACACCACTGCTGGCTTTTGGGGGCTGCTGGAGATGGACCCAGGGTCTCACGCATGCCAGGCAAGTGCCCCTCCACCAGCCCAAGACAACTTATTCATTATTTTTCCCCAAGGAAATATCCTAGAAGTGAATAACCGTGGAGGGCAACCTTTAAACAGCTCGGCTGGAGCCAGGGCTGCACTAGGTGCCCCAGTTCCTTCTCTCGAGCCAGGGATGAGCGCCACCCTCAGCAAGGGTCAGAGGGGCCCAGACACTTGCTCCAGCATAGGGCGAGCCTGGGGCCCCAGGACGCCCAAGGGGGCCGGAGCCACCAGGGGTTTGAGCCACGATCACAGCCTGCTCAGGAGACAAGAACTAAAATACTACCTGCTAAAACTCCGGAATGTGTCAAAAAACTCTTCCCAGAAGCAAACTGGTTATTTTTGAAGTATTCAACTACAGTAGTTAAAAACAAACACTGGGAAAGAACTGACCATTTTGAAAGTAAAAACTGAAAAAACAGGAAAATAATGAAAGTTCATTAATACACCAGGCTCAATGGTGCACGCCTATCATCCCAGTGACTTGGAAGACTGAGGCAGGACGATCACATGTTCAAGGCCAGCCTTAGCACCTTAGCCAGGCCCTGTCTCAAAATAAAAAATAAAAAGGACTGGGGATGCAGCTCAGTAGTAGAGCACCCCTGGGTTCCACCCCAAGTACCAGAAAAAGAAAGAAAAAAAAAACATAAATTAATAAAATGGTTTCAAGAAGCATAAGGATTGAACAGCCAGGAGCGACAACGGGCTTTTGTGAAGGGTTCTCCGTCCTCTCGCTAATAAACAGGCGACTGGTAAGCCTTCCAGATGTTCCCAGAACCACCGTCTGGGGCTCCAGCGAGTTCTGAGCAAGGCTAGATAGCACCTGACTCATTCTGTGGGGCTGGCGTGAACCTGACCGGGACCTTGAAACTGATTTGGCCCAAGATCATGGAGGAGGTCTCAGCAAGTCAAGCCCAAGAGGACAGGAGCAGAGTGGCCTCTGACGCTCAGGGGGTTCGTCTCAGGAATGCAGAGTGCTTCATCTCAAGTACTTTATAAGCCAAAGGTCAAAGAAGAAAAACCTTTCCTCCACGAATGCCAAGCAGGGATTTGATAAAATTACAGATCCCGGGCTGGGGCTGGGGTTCAGTGGAGAGCGCTTTGCCTAGCACCTGAGAGGCACTGGGTTTGATCCCAGCACCCTATTAAAACAAACAAACAAAAAAACACTAAATAGAGGCATCGTGTCCATCTGTAGCTAAAAAATATTAGAGAATTAGAAAAATTATAAATCCACTCCTGACATTCTTACACTATTTTTTTCTTCTAATATCTTTATTGTGTGCCATGGGCCATAAAAAAGGCTGGCTGAGTCTGTCCCAATTAGTCTACAAGGTGGACCTAAGGCTGCCCCAGGCTCAGGGAGGTGAAGGAGGTGGTGGTCACAGGAGCCGTGGAGCCAGGTCAGGCCCCTGGTGACCTCTGCCCAGCTCTCAGGAGAGAACATGGAGGCAGGATGTGAGCCTCCGGGGCTGGTGAGAGCCTGCCAGAAGCTCAGCCAGGGCTGTTTGGGGCCAACAGAGCGGAGCGGAATGGAGTGGCAGGCCAGGTGTGGGGGCACGCTGGGGGAGCCCCTCCTGGCCCCTCCCCATAAGACCTCAGAGCCTGCAGTGAGCCAGTGGAGACCAGCTGGTAGAGGAGGCTGGGGGCAGCCCACCTCGGGAGGCCCTCGCCACAGCGCTCTGCTCAATGGCGTCTCCTGACAGCTGCAAGCACAGCTCCCAGATGACAGTAAGTGGGCTCACCTGACAGGGAGGGCACGCGACCAGAGGGGCAGACCGTTCCAGACCTGGGCTGCGGGGTCAGGGGTGTGTGTGTGTGTGTGTGTGTGTGCGCGCGCGCGCGTGAGACAGAGCGGTCACAGTGACCCCAGGGCACCTGGGCAGGAGGGTCAGGACTGCCTGGGGTTTCACTTCCAATTGGGTGTGAGCAGTGGACATGACTGCTGGGCCAGGGCTCCCAGAGGACCTGGGAAGTGAGGAGGCCACTGTGGGACTGGGGTCCACTGGAGACCCTGCTTCTACTCCTAGGGCTGCGCTGGCCAGTCTCCTGCCTGCTCTGGAGTCCTCCCCAGGGCCCACAGTTGGATTGTCCTGCAGGACGGAGAGTGAACCGGACATCAGGACTAGGCTTACCCTCCCCACCCCTTCTCTCCCTGTTACAGTGTGATGGATGGCTCGTGAGGGGTCAGGTGTGTCCTGTGAGATGGCAGCACTCTGGCCATTTTGGCCCGGGCCTTTAGCAGTTTTCTCAGAACCAGGTGGCTCTGCAGCGCCCTCAGGCAGTAGGGGCTCCTCATAAGGACCTGTCCTGGCCTGGAGTTGGGCCCTCACCCTGGATATCATGGGGCTGGCCAGGCTGGGTTCCAGGTCCCAGAGCAAGGATGTTTAGTGTCTTCCATAGGTGGCTCCTGGCCCTGGCCTGGCCTGAGAAATGGGAGCCAGGAGGGACTGCATCGCTGAGGAGCTGGGCACAGTTTTGTGTAGGACAGAGGGAGGGACACCACTCGAGGACAGGGAGGGACCCAAGGCAAGCCTCCAGGAAAAAGACACGGTTGGCAGAGGCAGGGATGGGGGCGGGGATGATATGACAGCCACAGGGAGGGTGTGGCCACAAGGCCAGGGCACAAGGTCCAGGCACAGGTATCAGGTCACCTGAGAACTGGTTGGAGCTCCTCCCAAGGGAGGGGTGGGTAGGGCCAAGCCCAGCCTGCTGGGGGCCCACCCAGAGGAGGCCAGTCCTGAGGACAGGTTATCTGTGGTGGGAAACCCCAGTCTCAGGCCTGGGTTCAGCCTGATCCGTGCCTTTCCAGACAGCAAGGAGCCTCCACTGTGGGACTCTGGTGGCTGGACCCATCCTTGGGCCAGAATCCCTCGTTTCTGCCATCCCCTGATCCAGAGTTGACGTCAGAACCCCACTGGGTCTCCTTCTGTAGCATGGTGGTCTCTCTCTCCCTGGGCTCTGTCCTCACTGTCCTTGCCCAGCTGCTGTGGTGAAGCGGCATCCTGTGGAGTTAACCAGGCACAGTGAGGCTCAGCCTCTGTGGGTGGCACTGCCTTGCTCCACCCTGCCCATCGCTTGGCCCCTTCTCTTCTTCTCCCTTCTCCTGACAACCGGCCTCCTCCTGAACCAGGAAACTGCAACCTGACCCAGCCACTGGGCCTATGCACCTGTGATTCCCTCTGCCTGAGCCCTTTCCCTGGGACTGCATGGTTGGCTTCCGGTCTGGCCTCTGTGAGACCTCCTCCGATCCATCGATCCATTCCCATGACTGCTCCCTGGTCCCTGGTCCCTCACTCAACCTTGCCACCCTCTTTAGTCACTTCCAGAATATCTTGCTGTGGCATGACCTTGTTTGTTCACTGTTTGCCTGGGCCCTCCCCCTAGAATGTGCGTTGGAGAGCTGGGGCCTGGGGCCTGGGAGGGGCTGGTTTCGGGCAGCAGGAGGTCTGCGCTGGCGTGGGAACTGGAAGAGTTCTGGGCAGGCACACTCCTGCTCAGCTGCTCCTGAGGGTGAAGCAGGTACAGCCCGAGGCGCTCCTGGGGGTCTCTCAGGAGTGTGAGGCACAGCCTGGGAGCCAGAAATGTGGGGTCTTGGCCATGCCCTCAGGCTTGGGGAGTGCAGGACCCCACCCCTGACCACTGCTTTGTTCCCTGG